TGTTTTCAAGACAGGGTTTCTCTGTGTAGCCTTGGCTGTCCTGGAACTCACTCTGTAGCCCAGGCTGGCCTTGAACTCACAGAGATCCACCTGCCTCTGCCTCCCGAGTGCTGGGATTAAAGGTGTACACCACCACTGTCCGTCTACGCACCATTTTTTGACTGCTCCCTGTTCAGTATCAAAGTGAGGAGCACAGTGTGGTGGCCTACGCCTGTAATCTCAGCATTCAGGAGAAGCAGGAGGATGGCTGGAGGTTCAAGGCCGCCCTGGGCTATGTAGTGAGACCCTGTATCAAATATGTACGTGTGTGTGTGTGTGTGAGTGTGAATATATATAGGCACACCACTGTGTATAACAGGCCAGGGCATCATGATGGAACATCTGCCAGCACTGGGCATGAGTTCAGGGCCTCCTCCGGGCTGGGTAAGCACTCTACCTGGGAGCCACATCTCAATAATTTATTTTGATTACTTTGTATATGAACACCTAAGGTAAGGCAGACAGAGTAACAGCCAGCCATGGCTTTCCATCCAAGACCCCTTGCTTCTTAGGGGTCATGTGACATTGTCTGGGGTCCTGGGTGGAGGCAGCTTGAACACTCTCCAGTTCATAGAACACCCTCCAAGGGCGCATACCTGTGGTGCATCCTCCAACTTTATCCTGCTCCCATGTGCCATAGCTGTGGGTTCTGCTTCCGGACTAGAGGAATAATGCTGCTGTGGATGCTCATGCGCGGAGTGTGGTGTGGGCTGTGTTAGCTGCCTAGCTGTGACAAAGTGCTGGCCACAGTTCGTCAGCAGTCAGGAAGGAGAGAAGATGAATGCTGGGCCTCAGCTCTCTCTCCCGCGGGACCCCAGCCCACCACATTCACGGTGGTCTCCCTCTTCAGTGAAACCTCTTGGGAGAGTTCTTTACAGACCCTCCCTGAGGTGTGTCTCTGAGACTAAATTTAGCCACAATGGCAAGATGGCAAGAAAGGTGAGCTGTCACACTTAACAGGGTGTGTTTAAATTCTTCTAAGGACTCGGCCGCCATTGTCCTGGCCCCGCTTTCTGTTGAAGGTAAACAAATGCAGTTGGGTTGTCTTCCAGCCTCTACACAGAAAACCCGAATCCTTCCCCAGATTAGGTAATAAGGACAGAATCAGCACTTGCTCCTGAGGGCCAGCTCCACGCCAGGCCCAAAGATGGCTTGTGCCCGTGATCCCTGTCGCCAGCCTCTGAGGAGGGGGTGAGATGATTCCGGGCTCTAGACTTAGTCATCGAGGTGGGGCGTTCACAGTGGTGGTCGGGGTAAGAGCGAAGGCTGCCTTGACCCGTGACAGCTGTGTCCCACGAGACCCGGTCTGTGCCGTTCCTTCCACGGGTAGCCCTTGTTTGAAAACATGGCTTCCCTGGGCTCGGTACATGAAGGTAGTTTCTGGAATGCCATCTGTCTGCCTGCACTCTGCTGAGGGGTTAAGTTTCTCCCGAACATTAGAGCAGCAAGCGTGTTTTCTAGAGATTTCCAGAACTCCTCTCTCCCTGTTCTGGCTGAACTGGGTCACGTCTCACCCCTGAGCAGTGACAATGATTGTATGGGATTAGGTGCCTCTTGTCAGACCGCATCCCACCCAGCCCCGAGGCCAGGGCCCAGTCAGCTGGGGCGAAGCTGCCTAGGTTCAAAGTGTGCCATTCACCGGGGAAGCAGGGACACGAGGCCAGTGGCCTCATCCTACTTCACACACGAGGAAGTCCAGGCTGCGCAGGCAGCTGGTGGCCGGTGTGGGCTTGGTTCCTTCTAAGCGGAGGTTATGACCATTGGAGGTGGCTTTGCTGACATCTGCCAACCCCGGCCAGCAGGTCAAAAGGGCCGCAGGACTGGGACCACTCTTGGCACCTGGATTTAAGGGGTCCAGAGAGGCATCAGGGTTTCAGGCAAGGCATTTTTATTCCACCCTAAAAGCCTTCCAGGGGGGAAGCCCAAGTCCTCGGGGCCCGGCTTTAATGGTTTCTTTTATAGACTCACTTGTGTTATAGATGGATGAACTAAGGGGGACCCCGCTCAAGAATGCAGGAGAGCTGGATGATGAAAGGGGGGGTAAATTGTGGGGGTTGGGGAAATGTGTTTTCTTAAACATGAACTCTTAAAACCACACTAGCTCCCGGGACTGAGCGAGGCACTGAAGGCTGGCCTTCCCCAGGTCTGACCTGCCTGGGGACACCAGCTGATGTGACTTCCTGATGCGGGCGGCCAAGGCCCTCCAGAGCCATCCATCCCTTCTGCTGGCCTTGGTTCTATCTCTGGACTTGGGGTTGCAGTAGCTACAGTGGTGAAGTGTTGTGTCGTGTCCCACACCCCCGTCGCCCCCCTCCCCCCTCCCCCACATACACGCTGCTTTCTGAGCTGCGCGCTTTTAGGCGGGATGCACAGCCTCTCTCGTCTTGTTCAGCCTCTCTCATCTTGTCTTGCTCTGCACAACTGGCACTGTCTTCACCTGGTGCCTCCCAGCTCTGAAGTGTTCGTCACCACATGTGACCTTAAATTCTGATCCTTAAGAGCTCATCCCAGTTGGTCCATGGGAAGAAGGCGAGCCCAGGACCTGCATGTGAGTCACCTTCCTCAGTGATGTGACAGAATGCCCAGCAGAAGCCACACAGGAAAGCTTAGTTTTGGGGGTGTGAGGCAGCTGGTGACAGGTACCCATAACCAGAAGCAGACGGAAATGAGTACCGATGCTCAGTGTCCTTTCTTCTTTATACTCACTCCAGGACCAGCCCACCCTGGAGACAGGGATAATACTGCCCACCTTGAGGGTAGGTCCTCCCAGGTCAGTTAACCCAGTCTAGAAACGGCCCTGTAGAAGTAACCAGAGCTTTGTTTCCACTGACAGTCAAGATCTGTCAGTAAACCCTGGATGTTCATCATCGTACTTTCTCACTCTGGTTTCTGGGTCTCCAGGCTCTCATGGAGCACTTCTCTCCTCTCCGGGCCTTTCATGATCCTCCCTAATTAGGGGAGCCTGCAAACTCCGCTGAATGCCCTCGATTCTCTTTGAAAGAAAGAGGTTACTTGGAGTCAGCCGCCATGTTTTGTCTAGCCTCCTGGATTCAAATCCCCTAACACAGAGAGCTGAGCTCAGCACACACCATGGTGGGAGGAGGGGCATTAAAGTGAGGAGAGGGTAACCCAGGAAGCCAGGCAGGTCTGGACGTCCTCACTCCACAGGCCTGGTGAGCGCCTCAGGTAGCAAAAATGATGCTAATCTTAACCCTAACTCAACCCTAGACTAACTTAACACTAGCCCCAGCCCTAACCCTAACTTAACGCTAACCTGACCCCCACAGCCCTGACCCTTGGTTCCAAGAAGGGATTTCACACAGCACCTACTAAGTTAAACTATACTTTGTCTCCCAGGTTCCACTCCCCAGCCCCGTGCCTCAGTTTCCCATCTTTGTAAAGCCTTCTCGGCTTTAGCCAAGGATGTACCAGTCTCACAGAACTGTCTTTTTTCTCATCCTATGGCAGAAAACTGACTGACGGGTAAATGGGGCCTCTAGGGACATGTCTGTCTGTCTGTCTATCTATCTGTCTGTCTGTCTCTCTCTCTCTCTCTCTCTCTCTCTCTCTCTCTCTGTGAGGCTAGGGCGGAGCTCACAGTTCTGCACATGTTAAACTCTACACTGAGTTAAATCCCATCCCAAGTCCTCTTTATATTTTTATTTTGAGGCAAGTCTTTCAGTCTCCCACATGAACTGAACTTTCTATCCTCCTGCCTCAACCTCGAGAGTAGCAGAGATGACAGGGATGCAGCACCAAGGTTAGCTCCCCACCCCAATTTCATGTGAATCTCTTTCCAAACAGAGGTGAAATCAACATCTTTCCAAAGGTTAAGTGGGCAGCAGGTAGGCGGCTGGAGGGTGTCTGGGGAAGGCGTCCAAGAATCACTTCTTTCCATGCTCACTTCCACTGCTCCAGGCGGGTACTTTGGAACCCTTCTGTCTGTTCAACTGAATCGGCCTGGACTTTGACGTCTGTCTTCCACCTTGTCCGGTCTCAGGGCCAGCCCAAGGTCATCATAGAGAACACTCTAAGTCCCCAGCCCATTAGCTCTGCTTCCTGTCATCCCTCTTGTCCCACTTTGGGTATCTGTGACTACGTCCCACAAGCTGATGGCTCCCGGGTATCAGGCCTCAAGCCATCCCATGTAAAGGCAGAAGTCCTATACCCGGCGGTCACTGCCTGTGGCCCTCCTTCGGCACAGGAAGGTCCCGCCTAGTCCCTCCTCTGCGGGCAGCTCCTGGCATCTGTGGTGGTGTGTAGACTCTCTCTTGCTTTTCACGAAGCCCCCGGCCCCCGGCATGAAGCCCTGTCCTGCACGGCCCAGCTGTTTCTCAGGGCTCACACCTGCCAAGACCTTGTTCAGGCAGAATGCTTGCTGCAGGCCTGGGGGTGATCTGTGCCTCTAGCCTGTTATCCCTTGTCACCCTACCTGCCTGCTTCTCTTTCTCATCCTCCTGGAATCCAGTTTTTCTCTCCAGGCCTTTGCTTCTGTAGGGCCCGTCTCCCATAGTGCCCTTTCCCGCATACTTAGGGGTCACACCTCACTGCCACCTGGTCTCTCCTCCATTGCCATCAGGCATTGGCAGTCATGCTCACCTCCTTGCCACACAACAGTTATATTCTCTGCCCCTTGAAGCTTGGCCAACCAAGTGACCCACTCTGGCCAGTGCAGTGTGAGCTGCACATCGCCCGCACTAGCCTGAGACCCCCTGCAGGTCTTGACCAGAATCCTCATGCTTCTTAGTGTCAGGGTCACCATTGGGTGATTGTGTGCTGCCTTCCATTGCTCCCAGGGGTCACCAGAGAGCAGGGCACCCCTAAAACAGCTCCTGAAATTGCCCAAACAGTCCTTGCCGGATGAATGAGTAGCAGTGAATGGGTTGTAAGGTGAGGCTAGAATCATGCCCCTACCCCTTCCCTCTCCCTGCACACCTCTGTAACGAATACCTCCTCTGCAGGGCAGAGCATCAACCCCAAGTTGGCGGGCCTGATTGGGCGGCACGGACCCCAGAACAAGCAACCCTTCATGGTGGCCTTCTTCAAGGCCACAGAGGTCCATCTACGTAGCATCCGGTCCACTGGGGGCAAGCAGCGCAGCCAGAACCGCTCCAAGACGCCCAAGAACCAAGAGGCCCTGAGGATGGCCAGTGTGGCAGGTAGGCCAATGCAGTCTGAGCAGCCCGAGGGGACCATATGTGCAAATGCATTGTGGATGGCTCCAGAACAGATCAGCCTGTGAGCTGGGACGTGCCTGTCCAGCATGTATCTTCTCCGGGATTCTGGTGACCTTGAAGCAAGGCAAGGCTAGGCACAAATCAAGCCTGCTTGTGAGGGCTCCACATTGACTCCATCTTCCAGCTCCTGGCCTTGGGATTCTGAGGAAACACCCAAGGGAGTTTGGGCTGTTTAGAACTAAAGAGTGAGGCCACCAGGCCATTGCCCTAACCCCCCATCCCACCCTCCCAACCCTCCACTTCAGGTTACCAGCATTGCACATGGATTCTTCCTCCTGTCTGGAAATTGGTAGTCATTTAATTCCTGAAGGGAGAAGGTAACCCGCTGTGGCAGTTGGACTTACTGTTTCTGGGGTGTCCCCAGTGCCCTGGGGAGACTTCGGTGGATAGAGAGAGTTGTGTCAAAAGTATAGACGGACACAGTCCTCTTTCCACAGCATCAGAACTTATCATTAATTCAGAGGCTATGCCAATTTCATTGGCTTTAATTCACCAAACACCCCTTTCCCTTGGTAGACATGGCCGCTTCCAATCATAGGTTCTTATTCCAATCTTCAGTAGTGTGAATCAGTCCTAGCTACTTAACAGTTAACGACACAGCACATGTGTACATGTGTACGCACTGCACATGTGTAGCATGACGTGGCTTATTAGCACACACGTCGCAGAGAGGATAAAGAGCAGTACAGGAAGAAGCAGCGCTCCTCAGAAGGCTGTCCTAAAGCTGGAGGGGCAGAGCCGACCCGGCCTCAAGGAGGTCTCTGCGGGGACAAAGGAGTCTCAGGCTGAGCTCAGGCCTCTTCAGAGCAGAGTTGCCAAATGCTGCAGGTCGAGGTGAGTTTTGGTGTTGATTTGCAGAGGGCTGAGGGTGGCAGTCAGGGGACTGGGGCTAGAGTCCTTCCCTGTGACAGTTTTCCTGGACAAGGTTCATGACCAGTGACCAGGGCCTGGGTCACTGTGCCAGCGTGTCCTAGCCCAGTGAGAGAGTTCCATGTGGTATGGTGGATGGCTCGTGAGTCTGATGTTTCTGACATAAGCTATATTCTTAGATGGCATTGTTTACAGACACAAATAAATTACCCGGAAGTCTCCCCTCTGGTGTGGCTGATGGTGCTGCTTTACTTATATAAATATGATGCAGAGTCCGTCTGCCTCAGCATTCAGACTCATCATGGAGCCACCACTCAGGGCAGCACAGTTGATCTGTTAAACAGGTTACCTGTGGGTGAGGCACAGCCTGCAATCTGCTGTTCTGAACAGTCACGCAGTCACCTGCCTGTTCTGTCAGCAGCCGGAGTGTGGACAGAGACCTCGTAAGCATTCTTTTCTGCCAGGTAGGGCCTTTTATAGGCATCTCAAAGGGGTCTGTGAACCCCCAAAATAAAAAAAAACAAAACACCGAGTTTCCTTCGTATTTAGAGGCCTTGTTTATTCTGGGAGTGGAATTCTGTAGTGGGAACCTGGATGTAGAAACTATTTGGGACAGGTAGATGTGGTTGTCACCCTCATCTGTGTGTGGTGATAGGCCCAGGATTGGGGATGGTGACTGGGTAACTCAGCTCATTCCAGGGGTGCAGAAAGAGTTTGCATGGGAACTGAGCTGAGGCCTGTGAGCAAGGCCAGGCTGGTCCCATTGCTAAGGCCTGTGCACCCTGAGGGTACCAAGCCTCATGGTTTAGCTTTTCTGACACCTTTGAGACTGGTGACTGGCAGAGGAGGCAGCTGGAGCCACAAGTAGGTGGAACATTCTCTTGGGAGTCTCATCTTCGAGTCTGAAATCCATCCCAAGCAGGAGTGGGCGTTTTATGGTTTCAGGCTGTGTGCAGTGTAGGTGTGAGGTCATGCTGGGTGCTCTAGGGAGGGTGGGTATAACACAGGGTGACGAGGGCTCCAGAATCTGAAACTTCCCAGAAGCCTCTGCAAACTCAGCTGGCAAAGAGCTCTGGCGTGTCCCATGCCAGCAAAGGCGACCTTGTCTTGTGGATCTGCAGCGTTTGCCTCTGGACTAAGGAATGCTGAGGGCTCCACCCTAGGGTGTCCCACAGAATGCCCACTTTCAGAGCCCCAGGACAGGGTCCTCACTCCCTCGAATGACAGCTAGCCCGTCTGGCTCAGACTCTGCCTGCTCCTGGAGATTTCAACTCCCTACTCTCGTTTTAAGTTCTTCCAAACCCTGCCTGGAAGTTTAACATAAAAAAAAATTCCAGGACTGGGGCCCCACCCTGGTTTAGTGAGGCGGCCTGTGCATGTGCGGAGGCGTGTGCCCAGTGCCTTTGAAGTGCTCACACCTCACATGATGGGCCACACAAGTTGAATCCACTCTTGCACGCACATCATCCTTTATGTGTCCGGCTGGAGACACATGTCCCAGCATGCCTTTGCCTGGAAGTCTCTTTCCTGTGGCCACCCCTGCCCCAGGGCTCCAACTGCTATTGAGATGCAGGTGGAGAACCTGGGTCCATTCTCCCCTTCAGTCCAACACCCTGCTAATTGGCCATCTTCTCCAGCCGACCCTGGGGTGTGGAAGCAAGTCTGAGCACCTGTCCTGATTTGCCTACTACCCGGGCAGGGCCTTTCAGAGGTGCAGCGGCTGGTGGCTGGCACTGTCTGCTGTTCACTGGTTCTCTGCTGTACTGGGTGGGGTGGGTGGAACCAGACTGGGGGCAGAGGAACCAGGTGTCTCCTTTATTCCTTTCCCTTGCTTTTCTGCTAAGAAGGACCCGAGAATGCTGGGGAATTCCCACCACCTTCTCCTGGGGCGGCCACAACCCCAGATAGGAAAAGTAAGGGCCCATCCCCCACAGCACACCCACAGCTAGCTTCCAACATTAAACCAAAGATCTTCACTGGGATCTGCTCCTTTCCAGCATGTGACAGACATCGCTAATTGTCACGGCGTTTTTTTCTCATATCTCACTTCAGGATCCACCCTGACTCAGGACTGGGAGCTGTGGGCAATCTGGCCCCAGCGATCCTACTTAGAACTGTATCTTGCTCAGACTGCTTCACCCTGGGCTGAGGAGGTGGTCCACTTCCTTTCTTCCTTCCTGCCTCTCCACAGGAAGTGGAGTGGATAGTGCTAGCCTCAGCCCCCGGCTTTGCCACAGTGGTGAATGGCACCTTAGATAGCCACTCCACAGCTGTTCCAGGAGGTAGACCAGTTGTCCAACTCCATGGACTGTGCTCTGATAGTGCCCTGGCCCTTGACCTTTGTGTTGAGACAGCCTTGACCTGTGCATTTCTTCCTGACCTCAGAGCTGTGCAGGTGGAATTCCTATGCATCTAGAGAAGCTGACTCTGAGGGATGTGTCACTTGTCACCAGACACCCTGTGGCCTGTCAGTGGGCTCAGAGGGAGCAGTCATCACATTTGAGAGGTTGTAGGGTGTGTGGGGATGAGGAGTCGCCTGAGCACTCAGGCACCTGGCCTGTGGGGCTCTGTCGTGTAGACCAGGGGCCCGAGCTTTATGTGCAAGGACAGATGATGGAAAGCCCTAGAACAGTCAGGTGGGGACAGGCATTAAGTAAGTGCCAACCATTCATACAGCTGCAGAGTAGAGGAAGATCCCACCGCTCTGCATGAAAGACAGACAGATTCCCACAGTGTTTACAAAGTGCAGTCTCCAGACCAAATGCTACAAACTTACATCCTTCTAGAACACCCAAGCACACTGTTCTTGGCCTTTAAAGAAACTCAGCTGCTGCTGCTGCTGCTGCTGCTGCTGCTGCTGCTGCTGCTGCTGCTGCTGGGGGCCGTGAGCTTTCCGTGGTTTCTTCCTGGGGGTGTCCCCATCCTCGGATCTGTACCTCCTGGACCTGCAGGTGCATGAGCGTCTTGGGGCTGACTTGGTGGGCCTCCTCGGGCAGAGTGGTCTGGAAGCAGGATGGTCTGAGCGGGACTGGGGGTACTCTACTAAGGGTCAGGGTAACCCTGAGGGCTGCAGGTCCTCAAACTGTCTTCTGGGCCATCACTGCCCTTCAGCCCCCGAGTCCAGTGGCTGTTCCCCCACTGCAGAACCAAAGGGCCTTGAACATGTGTGTGTTTCTCTCTCCTCCCCGGGTTTTTCTCCTTGTCCATGCAGAAACCAGCAGCAGTGACCAGAGGCAAGCCTGCAAGAAACATGAGCTGTATGTCAGCTTCCGAGACCTCGGCTGGCAGGTAAGCATGGCTGGATTACCACACACTGGGGCTTTCTCTGTCCCTGCCAGCCACAAGGCTGTCTCCATGGGTGCAGTGGGTCACAGTTTATGTCTTTCCCCCCGTCAGGGACAGGGTCCCATATGTCCCAGACTGACATCACACTCACTGTGTAGCCTAGGATGACCTTGGACTCCCCTACATCCACCTCCCAAGTGCTGGGGTCACAGGAGTGTGCCACCATGCCTAGTTTGTGCCATGCTGGGAACAAACCCAGAATGTCCTGCATGCTAAGCAAGCACTCTACCAGCTCAGTCCCAGGCCACTCCACAGTTCTTGTCTTTACTGGTGAGATGTCTGATGCCAGGAGCCCTGACCTGAGAGAACGCCTTGGACTGAATACTTGCAGAAATCCATGACGTCCCATGACAACCGAGGTGCGGTTGACTCTTGGGCCAGAACTTGAAACATCACCTTCTACCTTCTGAAGTGTGAACTTTATTCTTCATGCACACCCTAGTCCCACCCCTTGGCTGGCCGCTTTTCCCACATCTCCCACATATGACCGTGTGTTCGAAGCCAGCCCTGGAGGGCCAGCTCCCTCCACCTCGTTCTGTGACTCAGATCGGGTGTTTGTTTCTGAGCCGAGCAGGCTGCTGTGTTGGAAGTGAGGACTCTGCACTTGCTGTTTCCCCAGCGTGCTGGGTCCAACCCTGCTGCAGTGACAACGTTTCCAGGGCTCCCAGAATACCCTGTCTGGATTACCCGAGCTACAGAGGGTCACTAGCCTCTTGCTCAAGAAGGTGCACCAGGCAGGGAGGTTTGCTTTAGATCCACAGGCATGCCCTGTTTTGACAGTGGAACAAAATGTTGTCGTCTACAGTGTTCACTCTGAACCCATACATATAAGAAGGTGCAAACAAACAAACAAACAAACAGAATTCAGATGTTCGAACTCTACCGTACTGTGCTGGGTTTCATTTGCAGCTGTCCTTACCCAGTGGGTGCAAGGTCTAGGCTGTGAGACAGACACACCTGTGAGCAAGCTGAGGCATGCCACCCCTAGCAGAGACAGGGATGGTTCTAGGTGTGGCCTCTGACCCGAGGCTCACTCCCTGCTGCTCCTGCACCCATGGTCCAGGGGATGCAACACAACACAACACAACACAAGGGTGTCCCCTCTAAGCCTCGGGTTGTTTTTCTTCTCTTCTGCTGGCCTTACAAAATGCCACGCTCATTTCCCTGGCCCTGAAGGGACTCCACATCTCAGAAGAACATAGTCTGAGCCTGTGTCTCCTGAATGCGAGGAAGGTCCACACAGGGCGGGACACACGGAGGTGGGACACACAGGAGTGGGGCCCTGCCCTGGGCTCTGCAGGGTCTCGGTAAGACGGGGCCTCACTCCCCTCTCTTTGCAGGACTGGATCATCGCACCTGAAGGCTATGCTGCCTACTACTGTGAGGGGGAGTGTGCCTTCCCTCTGAACTCCTACATGAATGCCACCAACCACGCCATTGTCCAGACACTGGTGGGTGCCTCCTGAGGGTGTGGCCTATGGGGGGGGTGAGTGGCTCCTACTGCCTTTATCCAGGGCCTCTATCCAGGGCCTGGGCAGCTGTCTGTCCAAGTGTGTCATGACTCTTGTGGGTACCTGCTGTATAAAAGGCTGAAAAGATATGTTTTAGTCATATAGTGGTATAAAGATGAGCGTGTGTGTGGGGGTGTGGGTGTGTGTGTGTGTCTGTCTGTCTGTCTGTCTGTCTGTCTGTCTTGGACCCTATCACTGTGCCTCCTGGTGGGAACCATCCTCTTGCGTGTCAGCATGCCATACTGTGTTATGATAAAACATGACTTAGCTCCTGGCCCTCCCCCAGCCTCTGGCCCTCTCCTGCTATTGGTAGACTTCAGTTTGTCAGGACCACAGCCCCCTTTCTTTCCCAGCTTTGAAGTTGGACATGAAGGTTCAGTAATTTGAGAGGCTTTGTTCTGTTGATTGTCTGCTGTGTGCCGGGGGCTGGGGGCACGGCAGGAGACAGCTCCGTATTCTTGACCTTGGGCTTTCCTGACCATGGGAGGAAATGGTCATCTGAGCAGATGAGAGTTTCAGAGGGGGAGAGTGGATGAAAGGGAGGAGGGCAGGAGGCAGCTGCTGATTCAGGTCAGCCCTCTGTGGGTCACTGGGAAGAGCCGAGTGCTGGGAGGGTGCTCTGAGCCCATGCTGGTGCAGGAAGCCTCCAGCTGATGCTGCTCTACCCAGGCCCAAGGCGGCCTTGCTCTGTGGTGGATGTTGTCTGGCCTTCTCTCGACAACCAATCATCCATGCTGGTTTGAATTCTGGTGCCAAAGAGCTCACCACATGATCCTCTTCCTCGAAGTCCTGTTTGTTATTTAGATTTATGTTTAACCCATGCCAAACTTGTAAGTCCTGAACAGAAAGCTCACTCATGCCCTCATTTAGTCCAAGCTTTACCCTGTGGCAGAGGAAGGGCCCCCACCACTCCGTCCTCCCTCTTCCTTTCTCTCTCTTTTCCTCCTGCACTTGTTTTATGGTTAAGAGGCTGGACCCCAAAGCCCCATGCATGTTCGGCAAACTCTCTACCATAAGGTGTATCCCTAGGCCTTAGGTTTCACTTTCTGGCCTGGTCTTGATCTCACTGTGACCTTGTGGCCCTCCTGCCTTAGACTCTGAGTAGCTGGAATTACAGGCCTGCACCCCAAGATCAGCTGCAAGAAATAT